CGGCCCTGCTCGGCCCTGCCCTGCTCGGCCCGGCCCGGCCCGGCCCTGCTCGGCCCGGCCCTGCTCTGCTCTGCTCTGCCCGGCCCTGCTCTGCCTGCCCGCCGCGTCTGCACCTGCCGGGGCCGCGCCGGGGTGGGCGCTTCCCAAGCCGCTGGATGGCACGGGGAAAGCGTCCGGCGCAGGGGTGATGTCTTAGGGGTGGCCTGTAATAGTTGCTGTGTTTCTTGAGTGCGAGGTCAGAAAATATGATTACTTAACAAAACCCAGGCTTGCTTTGTGTAGTAAAGCATATTGTCAGCAAAAGAGAAAACTTGGGAAATCCATCTAAGCTCAGAAACTATAGAGTATACTTCAGGTGGTTCTGACTTTTCATAAAACCCTAAAAAGTTCATGCAAGTAGCGTAACAATTGACGAACATACACAGATAACGAAGTTTGTGTCTCTGCCCCTTGTTCCTTCTCCCTCCTCACCCATGAGTGTAATGCACTTCATAGTGTCTGCCAGGAGCTGCTGGCCTCCCACTGCATCTCCTTGCTTGGCTGGTCACAAGAGCACATTGATTTACATAGTCATGGGCAACGAACAGCCTGTAGGACACAGCTCTTCCACTGCGCCAGCAATGGCATTTAGTTGAGCTGTGAGACTGAGGAAATTGTGCAGCCTGTCCCCAAGCCGCTGTCTGCAACACCCCAGTGTCTGTTTGGCATAGGACATAGGATGGGAACAGGCAGGCACACAACAAGGAGAATAACACCCACTACATGGAAAATATATAGGGCAGGAGAGAGCCTGGGAAATATCAAAGGATGGTGACAAAAAGGACAACCCAAACAATACAAGTCTTGCTTTGGCAGAGTTCCAAATGGTGTCTTCCCCCAAGCAGCACTTGGTTGTGCCACATTAAAATAAAAGAATCATTACTGTGTCAGGTCTTTGAAAGAAAGGGGAGGGGAGCCAAGTTGGAGGCTGAGGGAATTCATGGTAATATTCCTTTTCTGTTGCATGATCCTCAGAGATTAGAGGCGGCTTTGCCATCAAAACAGAGCCATGGGGGTGGCAGCTTGCAACAGCAGGTGAGAAGAAATAGTCTAAGCTGAACAGCTTCCAAGAAAAGGGCCATGGGATCAAACATCCTTGGGAAACAGATATGGCCTCCATTTTCAGTTGAAACAATTCCACTGAGATTTACTTGGGTCAGGTTAATTCAACAAAATATGCTGACACTCTGTTGGATTGGGTTAATTTAACAAAAATGTGATTTGTGAAGACACTTTCTATGCTCTTCTGTTAAGCAATAAGTTTATGGTGGGATTCATGCCTTATTCAGCAGGATGACACTGGAAATGAACCAGACCAAATTATCACAGTGTTTTGGGTAGGCTGCCAAGCACGAGGAACAACTGTTCCAAGTAAGAAGTGCTGTAAGAACCCAGCTTCTGCAGCTCTCACTCAGAACCCTAAGTGACATTCTTAGATATTTTGGGGGGGACAGAAAAGGATAGAGATGAGATATTTTCATGCCGTAGTCTTAAAATCCAGATTTTGGCTGTGACTGGAAACAGGAAAGTCAAAACTTGTGTGTATGTCTGCATACCCTTGAAACAAAGCATTGCACAGATCTAATGGGAAACCCATTTCCATTCTGGGAGATTTTCATTCCCAAACTCCTTTCCTGTCCATAGCTCATGGGCTCAGAGACCATCACCCTGGGGCTTCATGTTGAAGAACCTCCATGTCAGAGAGATGTCTCATTTAATACATCATATTTAGTCAGGTAAGTATTTGTTTCCATATGTTAGTTACATATCCAAGCTAAAACCCCTGTTTTTGTTGGGTTTTTGTTGTTTTGGTTTGTTTTTTTTTCTAACACTTACCATTGCTTCCTAAACACACAAACCTAGGGGCAAAAGGAATTTAGGTGACTAATAATTAAGTGTGGCAACATACAATCTCTAGGTTCCTGTTTGGCACAGCACATAAACCTGTGCCATTCTTCCCAGTCACCTGCAATACATGGGGAAAGCTAGATACCTCAATGGCATCCATAACTACCAGCTTGCCCAATACCACTCCACCCAAAACCAGCCACTGTGAACATACTGAGCTTACACAGGAAGAATTGTCTTCAGTGGAAGGAACCAGAACAATTGCCAGCTTGGAGTGTGTGTTAGACACCCTTCGCTTCCTTCCTGGGCTTTTGCCTCGTGCTAGGTGTGTTTTCAAACCCTCTTACCTGCAGTGCTCCGTACCTTATAGAAGACTTGGCTAGGTAGGTGTCTTTGTGACAGTACAAAACTCTCTTCTACAGCTGGGTCACTCAGCTCCTTCCTTTTTATTTCTCTCCCCACCTTCCCCCTAAAAGGATGGGAAGGTATATAATGCAAGCTTCTTCTTCCCTTTTATACAGAAGCCTTCTCATCCTTTCCAGACAAAAATCAGTTTCCCTCTGCTCCAGAGTGGGGGTAAAAGCCCTCAGTTCTCTAGATTTCCTGAGAGTGCCCTGAAAATCAGTATATTGAATTTTGAGAGTATGGACATTGTGTATAATACTGATAAGCATTGTCTAAGAATGCTTAGAGACTGGATCCCCTTTGGAGTGTGTGTGAGGGAACATTGGAGAAGGCATGAAATCAGCACAAAACAATCAACACACATCAAGACATCCTGGGGCAGAAGTACAAGTATAGAAAAAACAGATACCAATATGCAATCTGGGGACAATTCTACATTAAAACTCTATGGAACTTGGTAACTTCTGGATTTAGGCATTAGCTAAGCAAGAGAGAGCTTTTATGGCCACCCTAACCACATCATCTTCAGTCAGACCTGACAATTAAGCAAAACCCAAATCAAAATGAAGCCTTTAAGTCACGGGATTAAGATCTGCTCTGATCCAGCACTTACTCTTAACCTGCTTTATTAAGAGGATAGCATTACCGACCATTTACGGGAATTAATAAGGCAGAGGAGGTGACGAAAGAATCCCGATTGCTCAGCAGGTCAGTAGCAGAACCCAGTTTCTGTCTTCTTCCCTGTAACAGTTCCTGTGACTTACTGACCCCTAACCAGACTGTCATCCTCATCAAGCCTGACTTCCCTGTTTTAGAGAGAAGACCAATTTGATTTTCCTGTTATACTTTAAGCTGTAATAACATTGAAACTTGATGTGGATCATTTATGAATTCCAAATACTTGCCTGGGTTTGCTCAAGCAAGTCCTATCACAATAAAGTGGCACTTGCTTAACAGGCTTCATGCCAGCCAATTTTTAGTCAATATAAAACTTCCTAAGTCAGATCATCCTGGGACTCGGAAACATGGAATCTTGTGTCCTAAATCCATAATTCTTTATTGCTCTTGCAGAATCAATAGTCTCAAGAACAGACAGACCTAAACTCCCTGTTTCTCTGAATAGAAAGCTTCATCCAGGTTAGGCAAGGCATAGCTGGAAGAGTTTTGCAGATTCTCTGCTGGTTTGTTTGCAGATTTTTTTACTAACAAAAATCTAAAGCAGCTAACTCTGTCCTCTTGACAACTCACAGACTATGCATTTAGTATAGCAGCTAGAAGAAAGGACATTCATTAGAGTAGTTAATGGAAAGGATGCCACATTGTGAGACATATACAGATTTAAGGAGATTTGCTGTCATGTAGGACAGTCAAGAGTCTTTGATTTTCTTTGCGAAGTGGAAGAGCTGTAAAAGGAAAAAAACCCACATGGGATTACTGACAATAGTTTCTCTTTCATTGTGCATAACTGAATAAGCAGCTTATTATCCATTGCACATTCTGAAATTTTGGCATTATAATTCCTGAAAT